TAATTTTGATTTAACCATTCTGTTGCATTTACCATGATTTTAGGTTATTATTATACACTTTTTTCTAGAAGAAAAATTTCCTATATTTTTTTAAACCAAGGCTAGTTGTCGTAGTGTGACAAATTTTTGCGTTATCCATTCTTGGAGATAACCAGTTTTACTACTAGTTAGTGAATAATCAATAAAACATCTTTCTAGTCCGGCAGTATTCAAACCTTTGGCTTGAATTAAGGCATTAATTACTAAGTAGGATATGAAAGCAACCGCAATTGGTAAATAAACGAAAGTTCTGAAAAAATTTCTCGCTATTTTTCTTTTTTTTCCCTCAATACATGGAATTAAACACATAGCCATAGACATAAGAGCAGTAACTATTAGCCCCGCTACTCTTATTACAAGATTTGCTGTAACCAGAGAATTATTGGCAAGAAAACAATTATTTCCCTCTTTTTGTTGGATAGTAACGCTTTCAGTACTGTTTAAACCAGAACTCCCCCATTGACTGGGTAGATCAGAAGTGCAACAATTAGCAGTAAATTGAGCATTAGCATTTATGTTGTTTGTATTAATGTTCAAAGCAACAATTTGCCAAACAAAACTGATTAAAGTTATTGCCCAACAAAGATAGCGTCAGAAGTAAATTTTTTTCAAGGTTTGGAAATTCCTTTTTTGCTCCGCCGCAAACAATTCTTCTTCATTGCTATTTTCTCCAATCACTTCTTCCCGAGACATATTTAATTTTTGCTCTAATTCGTTTAAACCACGCTTAACAGAGAACATCACTACTGGCAAAGTTAAAGTGGCTAATAAAGAAAATTCGGGATACTGAAAACCTTTGGTTCCGTAAATTCCTAGAGAAATCATGCTACCAATCAAAGATGCTGATGAACGAAATATACCATAAGCCAATAGCAATTTGGCAAACCACCCAAAAGAATATTTTTCTCCTTCAAACAAAAAAATATTAACTACAGAAATTAGAGAATTAACCAAAGCCACTGGTCAAGGAGTAGGCAAGCCACTCGGATTAATTTTCATTTGGTTAAGATCACTGGAAACTTTAACTGATGAAGGAAAAGGGGATTTTCATTGCAAAAAACAATCCGTTTCATTATCGATTGAAAAACTGTTGTTTCCAAAAGTATCTCAATCTCTTTTAAAAAGAGCACCGCGGTTATAACAAGTCCAACCACCATTATCCCACCCGCAAATCATTTCTTTTCTATCATTGCTCTTAGAGACTCAAACAGCATATCCATCTTTCATGTTCACAATAGGGCAATTGAAATCATTGGTAAAGATATTTTCCATTTTATCAAAATTGAATTCCTGACAAGTTCCAATAGTAATATCATCAGTAATTAATTCATCTTCTCCTACAATTCCTGAACATATTTTTTTATTCTCGCTAGTTAGTTCGTTACTACAAAATATCATTTTCTTGTTAGTTTTAACACAATAAAACTTGACTTCATTGATTCCAAAATAAAAAGTAGGTGTGCAATTTTTTGAAGAATCGCACGGAGGATGAGAGCTGTAATAGTGCCAATTCTGACAACAGAGTGGCAAATTTTACCGTTATTTATATCATTATTGTTATAAAAAGAGAAATTAAGGAGGGGATTGTAGAAGTCGGGAAGGGCTCAATTGGCACATTCACCAAAAGCAATAGTAGGACAAGAATTCAAACAATTCTTAAAACTTTGACCGGCTTTTACTCCGTTGGCTGATAACCAAGTTAGTACAAACAATGATGTTATTTTTTGTTTCGTCCAAGTCGAAGGAAGATTTAATTTCATTGTTTTGATTTTTCTTATTGTATTATTTATACAATATTTTTCTCCGAAATTTTTCCAAAAAAAATGACAAATAAAAAAGTTTGAGGATGTAAGTTTTGTTAAGTTAGATTATCAGAGTTTTTCACACTCCGCTCTTTATTTTTTTCTTTGCTGCCAAAAACAATTCTTCCCAAACCAAACAAAGCCAAGCCAATTACTATACCCACTACGAGAAATATTGTCTGAGTTCCATCCAGATTTTTATCGGTTTGAACGCCGGCCGTTTTCATCTCTTTAGGCTTGATTTGGTTTTCTTCCACTTCGGGATAAGTAATAGTTTGGGATGGTGAGTTAAAAACCGTTTCTAATTTTTCTTGTTCAAACCTATTAATTGTTTGCTGCAAAGTAAGGATTTGTGTTTTTAAGTTGGTAATTTCATTATTTTGGTTTTGTATGGTTTCGGCATTTAAGCCTAGTAAATTATTTTGTTCGCTGATATCTATTCTTAATTGAGCATTTTCTAGGCTTAAATCAAATCTTTTTCGTTCGGCTTCTTGAAATGAAAATTTAAGGTTATTAATTTCCAACTCATTATCCCGTAAACGGCTTTCAGCAATGCTTAGGGAAGTTCTTTTTTCTAAAAGTTCGTTTTCT